GCCATGGGTAGGGACATCTTCCACTATCCCAGGTTGCTCCAAACTCTGTCCAGCTTGGCCTTGGACACTTCCAGAGATCCAGGAGCAGCCACAGCTGCTCTGAGCACCCTCTGCCAGGGACCCACCACCATCACAGGGAAGAATTTCCTCCTAATTTCTAATCTAAACCTACCTTCCTTCAGTTTAAAGCCATTCCCCACATTCTGTCACTCCATGCCCTTGTGCGTGTAGATGATAAGCACAGTAAAAATGAGATGTACTTTAGTGAAACCAAAGAAGGCTGGGCAATCCATGCAAGTTTCATTCTTTGCTGCCTCCAGGTAATGGTAGATTTTGGCATTCTGTAGGTGTTTGCAACTCTCAGGTTGTGTGCATGGACCAGACTGTGGTTTATGGGTGTCTCAGTAAATTAATGTTACTGCTACTCAGCCATCCAAATACAGGTGAATGACTTTGGTTTACCACATTCTCAAAAGAAGTGGAAGACTTCTTGCTTTTTCCAGTTGATTTATATAAAAGATAAATTGTCATTCTCGCTTATGCAGTTTAGTAATGACAAACCTCAGAACTGGTACTTTTGTATGATCTAAATACAAGTTAAATTTTGGTCAAACCTTGAGATGTGATTGTGTTTAAGGTACAGCTTTGGGGTTTCGGTGAGTCACTCTCCTGAGTGGGAGGGCAGTGCAGACTCTTTCAGTCTCTGTGTGTGTATTTACAGCATATCCCCACTTCAGGTAGGGATGGGAGGGAGAGAAGGGGTAGAGGAGGAAAGGTAAAGACTCTGAATAGTCCTTTGGAAAATCATATTTTATTGCAATGTGGAACATGGAAGTGTCTTGCCTGTGTCAGCCATCCCAGCATGGTTTTGTGAAACCATCAAAGGTTTAAGTGTGTTGATGTCCACAGGTCATACCTGGTGGGTTTTGTGGTGGGTTGACTTACGAGACACTGAACCACGTGTGCTCGGATACAGCGGCGGAATAAATTTCTCATATGTGTGGGACTGTGACGGTTAAAACAATCATTACTGAAACCATATACCTTATTTCCTGTAACTAATAGCAGGTCTCTACCTGTGGAATATATTAACAATTATTCCTTTGGGTTTGGATGGCTGCTCAGCTGTTTTGTTGGACAGATATTTAGACATGGTCTGTAATTTATGTTGTCTGAGTACGTCAATGAACAGAGCTAATTATGGCTTCCTGATGTGAGCTGTGCTGATGTTTGTGAAACCACACTTCTGCATGTAAGACAGAGTGAACGTGGGTTCTTTAATAAATTGTGGAAAATGAGGGGTTTTCTCTGCCTAGGTTGGTTAACAAAAATACCTATGCTAGCGTTCACCTAGAGTTTAAAAAGAAGCTATGGTTTTGTGGCTGGTTGAATAGTTAATTCTTCTGTGCCTTTAAAGTAAATTTTAATTTATTACTCTGTACAGTACTCAGACTTCCTTTTAAAAGGAAATTTTTGGTTCAAACAGCAGTGGCCCTTTCAGGGACTCCATCACTTGCCATGTTTCAGTGTGGGGTAGAGCTGCAGCAAGTGACAAAAGTCCTGGCTGAATGTCACTGTGAGCTGCTGGCTTTGAGACAGCACCTAATTACCCACCTACATTTCTCAGTACTTCAGTATACCTCTGTATTAGTCATGTCATTTTGACACTGTTACCACTTTGAAGGATTTTTTTTTTTCAGATGTGTAATGTGTATCCTGAGGAATGTGCTGCTCTGTATGGTAAAGACGGAGTAGGAAATTTTCAAAGGAAAGGATCTTGCAGCCGTGTGGATGGGGTTGAGCTGTTTGAGGAACACCCAGGATTGCTGGCTCCAGAGAGGAAATACTGTAATGAGAAAGGGGAAGCAGTTCTGTTTTTCTAATATTTGTTGTTTTCTTTGAAATGGGGAAAAGAATACCTGGAGTGATTTATATTTAATTGAGGATTGCATTCCATCAGATACGGTGAATGTTCTCAGGCCATTTATCAGCTGTGTCTTTTGGAGACCTCTGAGGAGTTTATGCTACATATTTACCTTAACTTGGCTGGGTCAAGGGAAATAAAGCAAAAATAATAGCTGTTATTTTTGTATGTGAACAAAACTGGAAGTCATGTGGGTGAAATATGAGCCAAACGACCATGTCCTACCTCCTCTGTGTCTTTCTAAGTACAAGAAATTATTAGTTATATATAATATAATTTCCTTAGCATTATCAGTGTATCTTTTAAAAACAGAAGATTTATTAACTTTTTAGTTGCTTCATCTTAGTCAGGCCCTGAAGTGAATGTGACATATATTGTACTGCCATTATCCTTTAGTAGTATCTTATGTAGGTAGCATCTTATTTAAAAAAACCCAAACAAACAACAAAAAAGAATAAAATAAACCATATGTTACTTCTTAAACAACATTATAACATTTTTTTCTAAATTGAATTTGGTGTACATTGCTGGTAACGTACAGCAATCGCACGACAACAGAATCCCACAAGTGCTAGTGAGGATTTTAATAAGCAGTACCTACATTTTTTGGGGTGAGTTTTGTAAGAAAACCTTTGAGCTTTAGGTTGTCTCTGAAAAAAATGTGTCATTGCTGATTGTCACCCTCATGGGCTGCTGCCACGGGGTCTATGGGTGTTATTGTGAAGAATTGCATATCAAGAGCTATTTTAACACCCACTCCACGACACATCCACGATTTCAACCCAGTTTCCCAATGTAAATAGCCAAAGGCGGTTTATTGTATGGCAATGCTTGTGTAATATTTGCATCATGCAGTTTCACTAATTGATCTAAAGGTAGGTAAATGTGGAATAATTAACTGAAGGTCAGGGTCTTTAGGCAGGAGGAAACACGAGGACTGAGCAATCTCTTACCGTCAGCACGTACAGTCATTCTCTGTTCCCGTGAGGGATGTACAGTGAAAACTGGTGCAAAATAAAACCCAAGAGCACAGTGTGGGTTCAGCTAAACCTGGTGATAAAACCAGTTTCAGAACTAGTCTGGTGAAGTGTGATTTGATCAGATGTTTCATGAACAAATTGCTTTATTACTGATACTGCTAATGATTTGTAAATTAGTTGCAAGCCTCCCTGAGTGACTGACTCAGTGGCATTTACCAACTTTTCACATACCCCCCATTTTTCGGGGTTGAATTTATAAAACACTTCCCTTTAGTCCCTTGAATTAAATTTTCGGTGGCATTTGATGACAAGCATAGCATGATTAATTACAAATTGTTCTTTAGGTGAATAGTGCAGATTCTAAGCCACAGCTTGTGTTGTTATAGCAGTTATTACCCTGCAGGCTCCAAAAGGGCTTTGGAGGAGAGAGTATGATTTTGGTTACATCATTGTAAATTCAGAAAACGTCAGTGATCTCAAAAGTGTGATTTTTTTGAAATTAGGTCAGTGGAAAAGAGATCAGAAACTGCTTTGCTACCTGAAAAGAAGCAAGCTCAAAAATGAAGTATCTGCTTCCAGATGGCTTTCTTTTTGATTTTTCAAAGAACATATTTGTTAAAACAAGTAATTTATTTGAAATACTATGGAGGAGCGAATAATAGAACAAATGATAACCTGAATCCAGGCTGGATTAGGGCAAGAAAGTTGGAGCATGGAATGTTTTTTCTCTTGCTGATTGTTCTGTAATGACCCAGAAGCTCTGCGTTACCATTTCATCTGGCACTATGGTGGGCCAACAGCAAAAAGCTACCTAAAGGTTTCTTATGTTTTGTCTCCCAATTAAAGTGATTCAGTGTTTGAATTTTTGTTGCTGATTAACTGATTTTTGGATAGCTACAGTGCACTTAAAAGAATTTTTGTTCATTTTCTGTCCTCTGGTTACAGAATACATACTATTTTTAACATAGAGTCGAATTAAATTTCTCAATTATGGTTGAGATGATGATTGAGATTTTCAGGGGAGTATGTAGTTCTCTGTTGAATTCTCACTTCTTGTCACCAGAGGTTTTGGTAAGATAAGGATTGCAGTCTGAAACCACTAGAAATTGCAGGTCAGGAAATGGGTGTAAGTTATTGCATTGTACAGTGTCAAACACGAGTCCCGAGTAACTGAGTTTAGCAGGGAGTCCATTCTTAGGGAGCATAGAGAGGGAAACTATCAGAGAGGTGTTTGTGGATGGTGAACACCTTTCAGGGTTTTGCTTTCAGCTTTTGTGTGTGGTGGCTTTGCTCGAAGCATGTGAAAAGCAGCTTTTGAGTACCCCAAGGGTGTGACTCATGAGGGCGATGAGCAATAGTCACCGGGTTTTCATCTGTCCCTCGCTTTGGGCAGCACGTTCTGCATCCTGTTTGTGAGCAGCTCTGTGGCTTTTCATGTCAGAGCTTCCTTGAGCCTCCTCTAGTGTTCTCTTCCACCCACTTTGGAGTATTCAGAAGAAATAAGATGGTTTACATCTCCTGTTGTTGCTGGGCTTGTGCTGCCAGCAATGCAGGAGCATGTCCTGGGGGAAGCCCCAACTGCATCTCCTCAAGCTGCTCTCTGCCTCTAAGTCTCTTACCCAAATCACTGTTACTGGCAGCTGTTCTGGCTGAAGTGTGTTTGAATTGCTCTTTAATTTTCTCTGCCACCAGGAAAAGGAGAAAAATATATATAAGAATGAATAAACTACATCCTAAGTTACGGAATAATTGTATTAGGGAGTTAGTGTATAAAGCAAAGCTGTTTTTAAATATCCAATTGAAAACAAAATTCAAAATTGAAAACTAAATTCAAAACGCAATGTGTTCCTAAGTCTTGCACATTTTCATTCATTTAAAATTTACAGACAGTATCTTTTAAAGGTCAAAATACTCTAGTCATCATAATTGCTAAATAGCCTTTTCTGAAGTAAACTCATTAATATAATATTAAGGATTATATTACAAGGCCTTGCAGTATATTTCTTTTTCTTCCAAGATAATTTTCTTAAGTAACAACAACAGTAAGAATAAGGATATGTTTCTAAAGTAAAATACTTCTCTATTTTCATTTTCAGATTTTAATCAGTCCTGGAGTACTTGAAAAATGAGTGTCCTTCTCATTGAACCCTTTTATGGTGGCTCCCACAAACAGCTGATGGATCTTCTCCAGGAAGAGCTACAAGAAGATTGTGTCCTCTGCACACTCCCAGCCAAGAAATGGCATTGGAAGGCACGGACTTCTGCTCTTTATTTCATGCAGACAGTGCCAGCAAGTTCTAATTACAGGTAACCAAGGGACTGAAGAATTTCTAAACTCAGATTACACAGATGCCTTCAACCAGGTCTCTTGAACTTCTTGGGTGTATGTGGGAGCAATTAGGGACTTGCAGTGGGCAGCACAGGTTTTTCTTCTTGGGGTATAACTGAGAAATTGTATGTTTCATTTAGAATTTCCTAGACTGTTTTGTCTTGCATCTCCAGTCCGTGAGAGTCTCTCAGTATCTGGGTGCCTGATGTCTGTACATGTATGTGCATCTTTGATTTGAAATTTTTCATGTGAGCTCAGTCATTCTGAAGGGTTTAAACTGTGCTTCACAGATTAGGCTGAGAGATGGCCCAGATGTGAACACTGCAAGCTTCCTCACGTGCCCTCCCATGTATCTGTTAGCAAGCCTGATTTATCAGTGTCCTGCTCAGGCTGACCTGGAGGATTAAGGGAGCAGTTTTATCTTAATGATTGTCCAGTTCAGTAACGTGCCAGCAACTATGGGTGTCAATTATACATTTATGTAAGTGGCAAATTTCCATCAGCTAGAACCTGGGCTGATAAAAACAGACGATTTAGGTCAACAGATAGCTATCATATAGTGAGAATCAGCCCCTCCAGAGCCAAGCTGTCTCTAAACCCAGCAGTTTTGCTTGGCCTACCTGATCAGATGAGATGTGGCGAGGTGATTGTCTGGAGCAGTGAGATAGAGCTTTGCTCACAGCATGCAGAACATTGTATGGGGACTGTGCACCTTCATGGGGTTGGACTGTTCATTCACACGGTTCTTTTAGCACAAGAAGCTGCAGAATGAACTTCAGGAGGACTCTGAGCACACCTGAATGATGTGCCTGTGAGTCACAGTTCCGAACTGGGTCTGGTATGTTTTACTGTGAGTGAGTGGGTGCTTCCTGAGGAAGGAATATAATTTTTCAAAACTAGATTTGTACTGTAGAAGGCTGCATTTACTCAATGTTACCCAGCACAATATCTAAGCCATCTTGGAACGCATATTGTGCAAATGTACACCTTTCCTATGTCTGCTTTTGGCTCCCATTTAAAATAATCTCCCACCCCAAACCAAACGTTATAATTAATTTCCCCCGTTTTGTCTTGTTCGAGGCATTTAGCATTGGTTTCCTCTTGCTTTCTTTTTGCAACAGTTTTGTTTTGGAGGAGTGTACATGACAAACTGTTATGTAAATTTGTCTTGTATCACAACCACATCCTCCAACGCATCACAATGTTATCTGTGTTCCTTCAAGGTCAGCAGCCCAAGCTGTCCAGCACTAACTGCATTAAACTAATCAGACATCACTCATAGACATACACTTCATTAGTTTAACTTACAGTTACATTGACCTAAGATAACTTAACTCCAATTTGTCAAGTAACCCACATCTTGGGGAAAGGGGAGGGAGTGCTGACAAAAAAAAAAAAACAAAAAAAAAACCCCAACAACAAAAAAACAGCAAAATCCCGCAAAAAACCCAACAACCCAACAAAAAAACCTCAACCCAGCAGCCTGAAAACTCACTTGAAGTTAATAAACTTGCAATCTGTCATAGACTTATGTGCAAATAGAACCTTTACTGACAGCAAATAAATCTGATCTAACCAATGGAGCCTCTTAAGGAGAGGAAAGCGTTTTCTTTGCCGGTGCTGTTCGGGTTGGAGCAGAGGGAATCAAACAGTCAAAGTTGACAAAGATGCGATGGTTAAAATAGAATTTGTACCTTGTCCTCGCAGGCAGCATAAAATTTTAGGATCAAGGGCTGATGTGGCTGGTGAGAGGAAAACTGATTAGAGGTACCTTCTACTTTACTTGCACATTTTTAATGTTTGTTTTGTAATTGAATGTTTCGATTATTTTGTTAAATTGAAAGTATAACTGCATCAGATTCAACCTAGTGAGGATGACTACTCTGCTATTAGAACAAAACATTGATAAAAATTAATTTTAATTTTGTTATTGCTAAGCTTTCTAATAACCACTGAAGATCAGTTTCCCAGGTAATCTGGGAAAGACAAAATTCCATTGCAAACTGGAAATACTGCGTGTTTGGAATTGCACGTTTAGATATTTCAACCTTCTTGTGAGGTTGTGGAAAACACCAAATTTGCATTATTTGTAATATTGACATTATTTACAGAAAAAACCTTTTCTTTTATAAGTACTTTCCATAAATGTGACATTTCGTAAATACCTTGTTTTTATTTGTATGTTTAGTAGTGCAGAAAGGTCACGGATATTTCAAGTGCAAACACTTGTGATAACGGAGCTGCCTTACTAAATCTTTATGTTCAAACTGTACTTTATTTCAAGATCCTAGTGTGTGTGAGAAGTAATTCTGATGCTGTTAAGTCTGATGTTAGATACATTTTAGAGAAATAATGTAGTTATGTTTTAAAGGACTTAGACTTCTATCCATATAAGCTGATTTTTGGGAGCAGGAAGGTTTGTTAGTTTAAATGTGACACTCAGCGAGTTAAGGAATAGTCTTAAAAAGCACTTTTGAAACAAAGGATGCAGTGCAGAGCCATAGATGTTAAATTCAGATACTCTGCAATGAGCAGAGTTTCTGTGATGAACTTGCTAATTGTTTTATCAGAGAACAGACGTGTCCTCCCTTGAGCACGAGCTAAGCTGGGCTGGTAACAAACAGGGCATTTAATGTTACTTTTGTGAACTGTACGGCCCCTCTCTTGGCATGCAGTAATGCTGTGTTCCCAAGAACGTGGAGATCTCCCTGGGATTGTCACAGGGAGAAGTGTCCTCACCCTCCATGGGGAACACACAGAGCTGGTACGGGAGATATTGGACACTCAGTGTTTGATCTGCAGCACTGCCTGGATTTATATGAGCTCCCCGATGCAAAGTCTGTGCTCCATTTCTCCAGAAAAGTTTTGCTTTTCTGTTTTCTTGGCTTTGTTGAGCAATGTGTTAAACCAGCTCATGTTTTCTTTCATCTCCTGAGAGGAGCACGGGAGCCCCGAGGAATGGGAATCCCAACCATGCAGAGTCCCTTCAACTTAGAAGGCCAGAAGGAGAATTTAAAGGTGGATCACTTGCCTAGAGATCTTGAAATGATTGCATAGACTCATATGCAGCAGCCACAGACTGAGTTTTAATTGCTCTAGAGTCACAGATAATTTTCCCTTAATTGGAAAGAAGGTGTTTGGACGTTTCGTTGATGTGAGGAGTTTCATTCTTGTGGTGGCAATTTCCAGGTTACAGCATTAGAAATGCACTGAAAAAGGGAGGAATTACTATCTGTTTTCTCTAGACAAGGTTTTCAACCATCTGAGAGTTTTGTTAGCAGCTGGTGGGGTATTATCTTCTTCGTTCCATGGATTTGGAAGGTGCAGCAGAGCTTCCTCAGGCTGCTGGCACTCTGCAGAGCTGCTGCACTCACTCCTTTGTCTCCCAACTTCCTTCAGACAACTTCAACTCATTGATAAATGTGGGTGTCTGATCTTTAGCCTAAAGTTGTTTTCCATAGCATACAGCGACTATTCTGTAATTCTAGAAAGCGTGTAAGAAAATAAGTTTTTTTTTAGCCTTTAAAAAATTCTTAATTCAAGAAAAGTTCTGAAATTTGAAAATACCATTGCACAATTTAATGAAAAACAAAATTGCTTTTCTTTTTCCTGTAGTTATTTTCTTTATTACAGTGAACAATCTGTTAAATTACAGATAGTAAACCAGTGGTATGACACATTATATAAAAGGACTTTTTATTTCAGGAGCTATCCTCTACAAAAAGTAATTCAATCTCCAAAAAGTTAGTAGCATAAGACTGTAAAACAGAGTGACTAAATTCAGTGTAGCTTCCAGTGTGTTTTAATAGCACTGCTAGATTATTTTAAATATATATATATAAATATTATGTATAACATTCAGTATTGCCCCCCAGGTAGCTGTTCATATGAATAAAGATTTTATTTGTAACAGATTCTAGCCCTGAAATACCCCTAGGGTAAACGTTAGCATATATATACCCCTTGATATCTGACAACTATATTTTAAAGACAAATTCTGTGCTTTTTGCATTTTACAAAAGAGAAAACAAATTATTGTTTTCAATTAATAGAGCTCTGAAAAAAACCCCAAACATAAACAAACAAAAAACAACCTGGGGGTGTTGTCCAGCAAAGGAGAGTATATTTCAACAGTATATAATGTAGATGTGATTGTTTCTTGATTTTGGGTTTTTTTCTTAATATTCTATTAAAATCTACTAGATTTAAGACTGTTTCAGATCTAATGCTTTTGTTCTATTTTATAAAGAGAAAATACATTATTTTAGAGTGAATTCTTTATTAACTGGTGGACTGTGTCCCCTAAAAATCTTAAAAAAAGGAACCCTTTAAATTTTTTTCCAGTGAGTAGTTCAGTCCTACTGAGAACGTAACACTGTGTGGACGTGTGACCATTTGCAAGCTTGAGGATTTAACTGTTTTCTAGATATATTGTTTTCAGAAACATTCCTGCATGGCCTGGAGAAGGTGTTTGAGGATGTGACTCGAAGGGCAGGGCAAATTTCATTAAATCTGAATTCATAGATACCCATTTGTACTGAAAACATTCCTGCCCGTTTACATCTTTCTGTGAAATACTGGAAATATTTATATAATCTTTGTAGGAGCTTCAATAATTTGTCCTGCATTAGAATCCTTCCTAGAATTTGGCCCTCATAATGCTCAGGTAAGGAATGAATGAATTGTATATATAAGTAGTACATTAGTTAAAAGAAGATAACCAATTACATGCAAATTAAAAAAAAAGAAAAAAGTTTATCTGTTACTGTTTGGGATTTTTTGGGCATATTTTGTGGTGTTTGCTTGTATATATAGGTTAATAAACATAAACCTGATTCATAGCATTAACTACTAAGAGTGTGCATTTTGATGTTACTGCTCAATTTCACTGCATTTGAAGATGGGACATGTCTCATCTCTTTGGAATTACTGAATAATTTTCTGCCCAGAGGTTGTCTTGCTTTCACCCCATGTCTTT